AGAAAAAAGCAATGTTGAAGATGATTGAAGAAATTGGCAGGGCTGAAGAGGTAGGTCAAATTTCGACAGACTTGAGACAAAAAAGAATTCAGGCAAAGGCTAATTTTGATAAGTTGGCAGCAAAGGAAGAGACCAAATGGAGGCAGAGAGCAAAAGTGGCTTGGCTGAGGTTGGGTGATAAAAACACCCACTTTTTTCACAAAATGGCTAATGCACGGAAAAGGGTTTCATCAATAAGTAAGCTGGAATGGGAAGGAAGAGTGGGAGAATCAATGACTGAAATAAAAAGGCTAGCCACTGCTTTCTATAAAAATCTTTACAAAGAAACGTGGGCCAGAAGACCTTTCCCTATGGATCTTCCTTTTAAGCAGCTAAGTCTCGATCAAGCTATGTTTCTTGAGAGACCCTTTACTGAAGAGGAAATTAAGGCAGCAATCCTAAAAATGGAGGGTGAGAAATCCCCTGAACCTGATGGTCTAACAAATCTTTTCTATATTAAATGTTGGGATGAGATTAAAGAAGATCTCTTGAATGTCTTTCAGGATTTTCATTGCAATGCTTCCTTGCAAAGAAGCCTTAATGCCACTTTTGTGACACTGATCCCAAAGATTGAGGGGGCCACAAATCTTAGGGACTTTAGACCAATTAGTCTCCTAAATAGTTTCTACAAAATTTTGGCAAAAGTGTTGGCCGAAAGAATGAAATTAGTGTTGAGCAGTGTGATCTCAAGCAATCAATGTGCTTTTGTCCCGGGGAGAGAAATGCTTAATGCAGTTTTGGTGGCCAATGAGCTCATAGACTCGAGACAAAGGGAGGGAAATCTGGGGCTGATGTGTAAACTGGACATAGAAAAGGCCAATGATCATGTTAATTGGAGATGTTTCGATCTAGTGCTAGAAAAAATGAATTTTGGATAGAAGTGGAGAAATTGGATCAAAGTATGTATATCCTCACTCAAGTTCTCAGTTCTAATTAATGGTCAATTGGCGGGATTTTTTGAAAGTTTAGAGGCCCAAGACAGGGAGATCCCCTCTCCCCCCCCCCCCTGCTCTTTATTTGCCTTATGGAGCTTCTCTCTCAATTCTCTCTTAAGGCGGTTGAAAATGGGCTTTGGGAGGGGTTTGAAATTGCTCCTCAAGCAGGAAAAGTTAACATTCTACAGTTTGCTGATGATACTCTCTATTTCCTTGATGCCTCAATTGATCAGTTGGAAATCTTGCTTGGGATCCTCTGCTGGTTTGAGGTGGTCTAAGGCCTTAAAGTTAACTTGCATAAAAGCAAAATCATTCCAGTAGGGCAGGTCTTGAATTTGGAGGAGTGTGCAAGAGTTTTGACTTGTCAGCTGGGCTTCTTCCCTGTGAAGTACCTAGGACTTCCTCTTGGGGCACAAGGCTCATCCTCTGCTATATGGGATCCAGTCATTGAGAAACTAGAGATAGAATTATCTTCTTGGAAGGCTAAATACCTTTCAGCTGGGGGTAGAGTGACCCTCATAAAGAGCACTCTGTCCAATCTTCCTACCTACTTCCTGTCCCTATTTCCTATTGCAACCAAAGTTGCCAAAAAAAAAAATTGAAAGCTTGCAGAGAAACTTTCTGTGGAGGGGTTGGGAAGAAGAGAAGAAAATTCATCTAGTGAATTGGGACCAAGTATGCTTACCTAGAAAGGAAGGGGGTCTAGGAATTAGGAAGCTGAAGGTGATAAATACTGTCTCGCTTAGCAAGTGGTGCTGGAGATTTGCTGCTGAAAGAACATCTTGGTGGAGGAACTTAATTGCCTCTAAGTACGGGGTGGATTGGGGTAACTGGAAATCTGAAGACCCTCTCTCTAGTTGGGGCTGTTCAGTATGGAAAGGTATCCTAAAAAGTCAACATGTTTTCCTGGAAGGTGTGGAGTTCAAAGTGGGTAGAGGTGACAGGGTTAAATTTTTTAGGGACCCCTGGTGTTTGAATAGCCCCTTGGCTGAAGCTTTTCCTCAGCTCTTTCAATGTGCTGCAGAACAAGAAGTTTCAGTGGCTGATTCCTATATTTTATCCAACAGCTCAGTGACCTGGTGTCCACGGTTTAGGAGAGATCTGTTTGACAGGGAGCTAAATGAGGTAATGAATCTGCTGAATCTATTATAGGAACAAAATATTGATATGCTTAGGTGGATATGGAAATGGAGTAAGGATGGCAACTTTTCAGTCAAGTCCTTATCTTCTAAATATAGCAGTTCTGGGCCTGTTATCTTTCCCTGTAAGCAAATCTGGAATGCAGTTTCTCCCTCTAAATCCAATTTTCTGGTTTGAACTATGGTGCTTAATAAGTGCCTATCAAAAGTCAGCTTGGAAAGGAGGGATCTGCTGCTATCAAACCTTGCTTGTGGGCTGTGTGGACTGATGCCAGAATGTACAGATCATCTAAGTATCCACTGCTCAATATCTTCTAGAGTATGGGAGCATTTTCTAAAGTCTGCTGGAGTTTGTTGGGTCATGCCGAGATCAGTCAAAGACCTCCTATTTAGCTGGAATCTGGCAGGCTTGAAGAAAAAAGGAAGACTTGTCTGGAAAACAATTCCTGCAGCTATTCTTTGGTCTTTGTGGTCAGAAAGAAACAATAGAGTTTTCTCAAACAAGTCAAAATGTCTAGATGAGCTAGTACAGCAGTCAGTCAGCAAGCTGATCTCCTGGGTGTCAGTTACTGCTGAATTTAAGCACCTGAATGTAGCTGAGTTGTTTAGTTCTCAGTCCATTTGGAGTCTGTAATTTTAGTTGTTTTCTGGGCTTCTTTTGTCCAGGGAACTGTTGTACTTTGTTGTTTCTTTGAAATAAAATCTTACCTTAACTTTTCCAAAAAAAAAGGGCACCATGATACATCGCCTGAAACTATCCTCTCAGGTGGGAGAAGTGGGGCTTCTGGATCATAAGGCATGCCAGGCACCTGTTCCAGAAAGCCATGAAGGTGGTGAATGGGCACCCATCCGCATCATTAACTTCCCATGGTTCATAGAGCAAATCGACATTAAAGAAGCACACAGCTATGCCTTAGGAGGTCAGAACCTCCTTTGCTTTATGGTCCCTTACAAGTGACAGGGGATCGTAGAGGTGGTTGAAGAAGAGTTGAGTAGCACCAGTAGACTTGACAATATCTAAGAGAGAAGAGACTATCAATAGACCTCTTGGTAATGAGAGAGGTACCAAGACACTTCAAGGAGTCAAGATAAGCAGGTGAGCCAAGCTCTGCTTAAGCCACCACCTTGAGACCCTGACAGGATGATAATGGCCCTCTTCCTCAGGTGCCCATATGAACACTGCAACCACAACCCCTGCCCTCACAGCAGCAGAAAGCACAGGGTTATCCTCAACCCTCAGATCCCTCCTGAACCAAACTATGCTGCACCCACCACCTGACATCTTGTTTATTTGATGTTCTATTGGTTCTTTTTGGTACACAAGTGAATAAAGGAATGTTTCAAATCATTAAAGTGTATTATGAGTTATGATAGATCTACTATTGGAGGTCTAAAATCATGAAATTAGCAATAATAAAACATGAAGTTATAGAATTAAAATCACTATAACTACTTGTCATTAGGGTTGTCTTAAGAGTCCAGACAAATGAATTACTTCTGATCACTATCCTATTAAACTTGGCCAAGTCCTTTGGAAATGGACCAACACCTACACCCTTTAGGTTTGAAAAAATGTGATTAACTCACCTGGATTTTGTGAATTAAGATAAAGGAATGGTGGAATGAAGATTTGAGAGGAATAAAGTGGAAGGGGGTTAGATTACACAAGAAATTGAAAAGGCTTAGAGCCAAATTGAAGGGATGGAACAAGGCCCAGTTTGGGAGAGTGGAGGAACAAAAAGCCCTCCTAATGGCTCAAATTGAAGAGTTAGATGGAAAGGAGAATCAGGATTCCTTGAGTGTGCAAGAAAGAGATCTGAGGTGGAAATTAAAAAAAAAAAAAAATAGAGTTGAAGATGCCCTCTTGAGAGAAGAAATTTCCTGGAGGCAAAAATCAAGGAATATTTGGCTCAAGGAATGTGATGGGAATACAAAATTTTTCCATGCATTCGCCAATAGGAGGAGTAAGAATTTTGTGGGTAAGCTAGAGGTAAATGGTGAAGAGGTTTCCTCTCAGGATGAGATAACAAGTATTTTTGCGGAGCACTTTAGAGCAATATCCAGGAGGCCCTTGAATGCTAGGCAGAATTTGGGAGTTTTTGAATGGCCGAGATTGGGAGAGGACCTTAATGTTTGGCTGGAAAGGAGTTTTGAAGAAGAAGAAATAAGACAAGCAGTTTTTTCAATGGATAGGTCAAAGGCCCCAGGTCCAGATGGGTTCACTATGGCTTTGTTAGGTTCAGAATGCCCAGGTCTCTAGCAAAAAGGATAACTATGAGAGCAACTGACACCTCTGCCTCAGTAGAGTCAGTGATCCCAATTGGCCCACTAGAGGCCCAGCATATACTACCATTACTGTCTCTTAACAATTCTCCAATTGTAGCTAGTCTAGGGTTACCTAAAGAACTTCCATCAAAATTTAGTAGGAGGGATTACATGACGAGACTTGAACTCACACTTTCGAGCAAGACTACCACTATTAAACTCAAATGGATTTACTATAATGAATTAGACAAACATAATGAATATTATTTAGTTTAGTTTTCGTTGGGTTGCCTAGGCCCTCAAACCAATTGAACCTTGGCGAGAGCTTTGTTTTTCCAACCAAAGCCTATACCACAGCCTACAAATGTCCACTTAATCTCAATTTTCTTATGCTCTTTGCAGAACACAAGTTGCATCTTAAACATGAAACCATGGTTTTAAGGACTAAATTCATAGACCATAAAAGAAATACATCATCTCAAAAACACAAATAGAAAAAGAATTTGCTTGACCACATTATTATTCGGGTTCTGAAGTTACAAGGACTTATTTCCACATTCTAGAACAAATCAATGACAGAAAAAAGCATTGCAGTATAGAGAAGCAGAAGTCAATAGCATACCTTTATATAAAGCTCATGAACCTCTTGGAAAAAGCTTCTAATTCCATCTTCATTACGGGAGTCATGAAGCAACATCAATCTTGTATGTATGATATAGTCGGTCAAAGAAACAAGAGAATGGAGATAATATACCAATACTATAAATTTAAATATTAATGCATTAATAAAATATTTTTTTCTTAAAAAACAAAGGATACCATTAGATGGAGAAAGCTCAAAAACATACATTGGATAAACAGTCTATCCTCTTGACCAAATGTCAGAGTGAACAACATCAATTGGGAAAATTCCAACTTTGGACCAGCCGTCAGACAGCCAAATTTCACATAATATCAATAATCATAACTACATCATAAATACAAGTTAATGTGTTCATTTAAGATCATATCCAGCATAAAGTCCTTGATTGCTAGAATTATCAATAAGTGACTGAGTGTTTCTTAGTTGGAAATGGCCATGACTGGCGGTGCCGATATCTGGGAGGAGAAAAAAAAATCCTTTAGTCATGACCATAAAAAGAACAACATAACTTTTGGATGGCCTGGATTAGCAACCATTACAGTGTTATAACAGCATCAACCTTGCAAGTTGCAGCTTGCCCATTTGGTGTTTAAAGTTTAATGAAGGGTCTTTACCCAGTAGATAAAACTAACCAAAATTCTTTGATTTTTAGCAAATGGCAGATCCCATAAACTGAATTATTTGCCTTACATTTTGACATTACAGCTTAAATAAACACAAAAGAGAAGACTCAAGAATGGCTATTCCAGTAAAAATGGTCCAAGAAATATAGTTAAATCAATAATGAGCTAGACAACATAGAGCATGAATGAGCAAACAATAAAAGAAAACTATTAAATGAACCTTACAAGCCAGTAGAATGCACTAGTATTCTAATGGGTTCAGTCTCTGAGTTGATATTAAAATATGCAGTACACTTGGGTAGTTTGTTTGATTTCTGAAAATAGTAACATATGCTTGAGGATGATACATAGACATGGAAACAGGTAGGATATGACCTGCTGTAACGTATACAGACACCACCAAATCATTGAACCTGTCCACTGCCTTCAAGAACCTGTATCAATAATTTGGTAAACACAAATTACTAGGTGCTAATAAGAATAAAGACAGAAAATGTTTATTAGTAACTTATTTGAGTCTTCATGAAGTCAGTCAAACACCTATAAAGATGAAAAATGAATAGGGGGACAATGGAAACTCACATTGCACTTGTAGTCCATGCAAGGTCCTGAACAATATCCAAAGCTGCATGTAATATAAATTGATGCTGATGGGTGGCTTCTTCTTTCTGTCACATGATAATGATGTAAGGGTGCTAACCATCAAAAAATAACGACTTCATACAAATACAAGAAGTAAGAGGGAAGAAGCTGAAAATGTGCTAAAGTATCCATAATTAGGCAGAAAAGTTGATTATTATAAAAGTGAAACTGTTGGTCCCAACTTTCAATCAAATCGACAACAAATGACAAAATACAAGATACCCTGTGCTTCCAGAATTAGATTGACTTAGAAGATCAAAGATGAAGGAAAATGTGAATGCCTTTTACTCGGCTAAAAATGATATTTAGAAATTTTGAAGATTTTGCATTAGGATGTGACGACCATGATTCAGATGGATCAACTTAATTGATACACCACATTCTTCATCAAACATTACAGAACTGTCACCCCATTCCTACCCTCCCTTCCCGGATGGGACGAAACAGATAACTCTCTAGGACATCAGCCATATTGACAATATAGGAAGGTACAAAAGAAAGGGAAAAAGCAAAAAATAATAATAATAATAATTGAATTAGTAATTGAAAAAGCACTATTAGAAATATTCCATTTTAAAATAGAACTTGAGCTTCCCAAATAAATTGGTTTTGGAGTAGGAATTCATACTTTAATTGCGGAACCCACTTCAGCCTCGTATATGGGTATATCATTCCTGCTGACAATAATGAAACAGGCCGTACTTCCCATCTCCTCACTCCTCTACTAGAATCAAATGCAAGCTGTTAGTCTCAAGCTGCAACAGAGGAGAAACGAAGTTAGATCTTATACGTATAAGAGACCATCACATTAAGCAGCAATTTTGATGCAACTCAGAGCACACGCAACATGAAAATGCTTATCAAAACCTTTAAAAGAAATGTATAACACAATCAAAATGCAAACAATTTGTTTAGCATTTCTCGTTAAACAAATGGAAACATGTCGATTTTCAGAAACAAGGAAGCTAATAAGGAAATTTTAAATAAGAGATTTAACAACTGTTTTGAAATTGGTTTGGTGGGTTTGCAGATTACCCTTTACGCAGCGCGGGAGATCATGGATTGCGGAGTCCGTCGTTTGAAATTGAAAGTACAATCTGCTTCTTTGTTTCTTTAGAGCGGGTGGAAGTGGAAACCGTGGAATCGATTTTACTCCCAAATATTGTGCGTAATGAGGAATTTAGGATGATCCAACCCATGGACCGTCGTTGTCCGGGTCCCCAATCCCCATCCCGGTTCGTCCGTTTTGAATAGCTTGATTCGGTTTCCTTGCAGCATATTTCCGGTTTGTCTCGACTAATCTGTTTTCTCAGCTTAAGGTCATGTTTGGTTGTGCAGTAGAATGCACTAGTGTACCTATCAAAGGTGTTTAAGAAAATAAAAATTTTACTTTAATTTTTTCTAATTTAAGGGGTAATTAGGGCACATTCCATTTTTGATAAATGGATACATCCCTACTAAAGACAAACAAGCATTAATAATAAAAATAAAAAATGAGGTTTTTTGTCTAACTAGTAAGTGTCCATATGTGGCAATTTTAAATGATGGTAATGATAGTAATAGTGTATCCAAAAATTTTCATAAATCTTATGTATTTTTATATTTTTTTGTTTTTTATTATTAATTGGATGCAGGATGCAAAATCTAAATGTGATTACATAAATACATCATCCAAATATGTGAGTATTTTTCAAGTATCATCCTTTGATAGACCTACCTGCTTGAAATGGACAAGGTAAAAAGTAGTAGTTCAATTTACAATTTAAACCTCACAATTAAATAGGAACTAAATTCAATATGAGTATTTTAGTCAAGAAAAAGTTTCATAATCTTATTCATATTTGCAATAGTAGTGTAAATATAAAATTATAAACGTGTTCAATTTTTTCTATATTTTTTTTGTATTTTTGTGTGTAAAAGTAATTCCGATATATCACACTTACTTTTTAATTAATATGGTAATTATATGATATTATACATGTGTCTAAATGTTCTTTTGCAAAATTTATGTATTTTTTATTTTATTAATTTTTATTATTTATTAATGACATTAAATGTTAACACGTTTGACCCATAAGTTGAACTATTGAACTTTGTCAAATTGTAAAATAATTTCATTTTTTGTTAGTTCAAAATTATGTATTTCATTTTCATTATCGATAATATTTATTTTTTAACTTGATTAATAAAAATATCATAAATGTGTCTAATTTTCTTTACATTTTTGTAATTTTCTATGTTTATTTTTATTTAAGAAATTTATTACCTAACTATGACTTCATAGGTTGACCGATTTGATTTGGATGATTGAATTGCTTATCCACCACTTGGATAAAGAATGGCTTTGTTTTGAGCCAATTTTAAAATATATGGGTTTATATTGTTAAAAATATTGACATAAACCTAATTAGTAACATTTATTAGTGAAAATTAACTTAAATATAGGATTAAATAAGAGAAAATCAGAGTTAATACCTTCAGTATAAGACTTAGTGAGAGGGGATTAAATGAAGTGGAAAATAATAATTGAACTTACATTTCCAACCCTTAGGATTAGAGATGGACTAAATACACAAATATGGGCATTTTAGTAGCCATAACAGTTGTAATAAAATGACTTTTATACCCTTTCTCAAACAAAGAAAAAGAGGGTAATTTTAATCTATAAAAAATTCCACTTTGCATTGACACTTTTATATATAGCATAGATAAATATACTCCTCATGCTCCGTTTGTTTGTAATGCAAATATGAACTAGATATAAATTTTGTAACTGCTCCATTTTGCATTTGTTTGTTTGTAATTATGATTTGCATTTTTACTTGATTCAAAATTTACAATTTTTTTCTGTCTCATTTGCATTCATTGAAAAAAAAAAATTACATTTAAAAAACATGATGCAAAATTTGCACCACTTTCTCCTACCTTGAATCTCTCATATAAAATTGGGATCACATCAATTGACTTCCTACCTTATTCCTCCCAAATAAATAACCTTCCTCCCACCTCCATTCTCTTTAATATAATGTTGCCACTACATCATTTTACTTCCTATTTTACTCCTCCCAAACAAACAAAATAAAATCAAATATGGATAAAAAGTAAATCAAGATTCTATATTGATTTTGGGTCTAGTTTTAGGATTCCAAGGTGTCCAATTTCCAATATGGATTTACTTGGGCCTTTCGCATCCAAATCTGTTTGTATAGTTCTAACTAATAGCATATAGTTTTAAGAAGCAGATTGTATAATGAAGCCTAAATTGTTTACATCTCAATTGATGGAAGCATTTGGATATGGGCCAAACAAAATATGAATTTGTTTTGCCACGAGTCAATTGTTTGAACTCATGGTCAATGAGTTTGCAAAATAGGGCAGGCAAATCAAGATTATCAGATGAATCAGATCAGAGTAGTGGGCGCAACAATTCAAGTGTTCAACTTGAATTTGGTTGATTTTTCTCAGCTGAAGCATGGGGGAAATGGGGACTAACATCACTCTAAAAAAACAAAAATTCAAAAATCAATTTTTAACCATGTAACCAACTCAAATAAAACTTGGTCAAGTTGAACCAACTCAATGCAAGTTTTATTTTATTTATTATTTATTATTTATTTTATTTTTGTATGGTGTAGAGGGGTATAAATTACTTATATTATGCCCCCTTTGACATTGAAACTACTGGGGATTTGTTAAAGGAATAGATTGAGTTAAGATACAAATAACCATTTCCAGCTTAGGTTTTAGTGTTCAGGCCTGACCCAGTAATATATTATTTGTATATTAAATATATAGTTAAATATAGATTTTTATAACATATCATATTATATTATGCATAGATGCTATAAAATGACACATATAATATATAACATATATTGTATAATATAATATTTTATATTATATAAAGTATAACATATTTTTGTACATATATTATATAATATATGTTAGATAAAACTTAATTAGAGTGACTTGGCCCAAAGCTCGATCCAGCCCATGGTCAACCCTATCACCAAGCAATGGCCCCTTAAAAACAGAAATAGATATTTTACCAAAACATATTTGGAGATTGATAAAAGTAACCTCATTAATAAACATTAATTACAGTTTTACCATCTCAAACTGTTCTTTTATTTAATTTCTTTTTCTTAAAACCTATTTGCCAAAAGTAGACGGTTCACCAAAATGCCCTAAATAATAAAATAATAATCTTGTCTCCAAAAAAATATAATAAAAGTAATCTCATTTGCAAACATTAAATACAGTTTTACCATCTCAAAGTTTTAGTTTGTTTGATTTTTCTTGAATGTCTTTAATTTTTCATTACCACTTTAAAGTTGTGACAGAAAAAAAACAAGAATGTGCTAAAGGGTAAAATGAACAACTTTTGAAAAGTTTTATGTCATGTGAACACTCTCCATCACTAAAGCTGATGACACATTAATAGAGGAGAGGAGTGAAATAAGTTACTTATTTACTGCAAGGTTTGAGTAAGTTGATAGATAAACCCGAGGGGAGGTCTAAATTATTTATACTTTTTTTTTGGGTTTGTATGTTGGTTTGGGGGAATGGAGAACTTGGGACTATAAACCTGATCAGCCTAAACAAGTTGCAAAACAGCTTAATTATGAATCACTTTTTTAGCAAAAGAAAAGAAGTAATTTTTGGGATATATTATGCATACTATAGCCAAGATAGACTTTTTGTAAGGACAAAATTACCCCTTTGTATTAATTAGTCTCTAGGATAAAAGACTTAAACCTCTCCCTTGACGTTTCCATAAGTACTGAAACCTTCCCTCCAAACAACAAGTTGGGTTTTGAAGTTTTTAGACAGACTTAAATTAATCATTTCTACAAGTAGGGCCATAGAAGTAAGCGTGTCAATGGACTGGTTTTGGACTGGATCCAAATTAATTTAAATGGATTTGACGGACTAAAAAGACATAGTGGGTTAGACCAACTCGGTCTAAAATATTTATTAGATTGGACTGGACCTGATCTATCCATAATAAATTTATACTAGATTTAATTGGATTAAGCCAATATCTAGTCCATTAATATAAAATAAGAATATAGGTGTCAATGGATGGATTTGGATTGAAACCAATCTAAATTAAAATGAATTTAAACAAATTAGATAATCCAAACATTGAATTTGAATAGTCCAAATTATTCATTGGAGCATAATTACGAAGCAAGTTATTGAAGAAAGAAGGCGGGCAAGAGCAACAAACAACGAGCCACAGCCCATGCTGATGCTGTAGTAAATACAAGAAGCAGAGCTCCTCGATAGATACAAAACGGAAAATGAGCAGACTAGATCTGTTTCCACTTTCCATCTGTTTGTTATTTAGTGAATACACATATGATATATTCACCAAGAGGCTTCAAATTGCTTTCTCTTTTGGTGGAAGTTCGTTTTTGGGTCCCAACTCCCAACGGGCTGAAACTTAACAGAGAATGAGGAGACAAGGGAGGCAACCCATATCTGCATTTTCTTTCTCACGTCTCATCACAGAAACATCTGCATGTTCTCTGGAGGGACCTCTTTAATTACCTACTTATCCTGCATTTAATGCTCTTGTTTTCTTAATTTTCGACAACCCTGCTTCAAATATATATATTACTACTTCCCCTCCTGAAAACAGGAAAAATCGCCTACAGTTATCCATCTCTAACCATCAGCCTACACTTATCCTTTTTCTCGTCATGTCTTTCGTGTCTTCTCTTCTTCCTTTTCTCATAATATGCTTCACTGTGCATGCATGTAAAGCCCGCCATTTCCAAGTCGTCGATAAAGAATCGGACGCACAAGATCATCTTTCTGGCAAGGTTGTTGCAGAATCTTAATTTTTCTTTTCTTTATTTCATTTTTTTGATCAATGTAATATGAGAAGAGACTATATATTTAGCAGAGGGCCAGAGACATTAATCAGAAAATCTCTCATTATAGAATTTCTATCCCTGGTGCAGGAAATAGAGAAAATGGAACCCAATAAGACTTCATCATCAGTTCCATCAGATCAATTATCGAAGCATTCCCTGTCAAATAAGGATCTTCGAGCAGGACAACAAGTGAAAGTTCCAGAAAACAAAAGCCATCATAGTGGGGGTGGTGCAAGCTGTAGTAGTTATCAAAGGCGGCCAAAGCAGGATCCAGATCATCAAGCTCTTATTAACAATGTTAATGGAAAACCAGGAAAGGCTTCAGGTGGTGCGCGGAACAACTCTCTTGTTTCGGTTTCATGGCGTGTTCCTCATCATTATCAGAAACATGGAAAGCATCCTGGATTTGACATAGACTATACTCCACCCAAGACACGCCCTCCCTCTCACAACTGAATTATCCCGGCCGGCCCCCTTTTTGTCTCCGATCAATTCCCACCTTCTCTTTACTTTCCTCTTTGAGGGCACAGCTTATTATAATTAATTAATATCCCGAAACTGTCAAAAACATTAATTCTATGATGTAGAACAAGAGTGATCTTAGAATTAATATTAGAACTGATCATATATATACAAACCACGTACAACGATCTCAAGCATAATCGTCATACGACGCCGGCTGTTGTTTTATATACCTTTCTAGTTCCACGCTTGGCTTTTCTACCTATCGTATATTAATTCTCTGAGAAATATGATCAATTCGGCCATCAATTTTAATATATCATATACTCTGGACCTCCTCCTCATTTACCCAATTAATCACAATTATCTTTTTGTCTTTTTGTTTTTGTTGTTGTTATTTTTGTTGTTATTGCAGGAAGTGAGAATGCAGTGCCTTTACAAAAAGAGGAAAATAAATTAAATAAAGGTAAATTATTAGAGCATGCTTTTATGTGTTGAAGTTGGTGCATGCATGCATAATATATATGGTGATGAGTAGTGATGACCAAGGTTCATGAACGACCTCCTTTGATCAATTAATGATTATGCCCTGAGGGTGGCAAGGGCGGATGTTCTACATTTGCATGCATGCATGCATGCCGAATTGTCGATGTCATGTGTACATATCACCTTGTTCTTATGCATATATCTTATAGGTGAGAAGCATTCTTTTCCATAGATGCGCATATATAAAATGGATGAACATAAGCTTAAAAATGGTATATGTAAGCGGATGCATATGGGGAAGTGCAAAAGGCATACATGGATGGTATATATGTAGCATCTTCTATATATGCATGGTGTCATGTAATCAGGATTGGAGAGTTGAGTCAATATAATGCCGGCCGGATATGGGTCTTGTGTTAATGAAGAAACCATGCACTACATATTGTTTGGTGATCACAATTTGATAAGTAATGGGTTGCGAGTATTTCCACAACAAAATGCATTTCAAAAAGTTGATAATGCACAATAACCCTAGCTAACTAGCTTTAAATATAATCAAGATTTCCACCTAGTTAAAATTAAAATTTTAATTATTTTGAGCGAGGATATATATATATATATATGTGGTGGGTGATGGTGGATCTCTTTTGAATTTTTCATGCTTCTCCTTTTTTCCTCTATTAATGAGGTTGTGAATGAGGAAACATGCATGAGACATGGGTATGGGGCCATGGCTGTAAAATGTGGTAGTTCTTCATCATAAATGGGGGATGACAGTTACCCGTTAGTTCCCTTATTTCTATTATCGACTGTTACCCGTCAGTTCCTTTGCACATGGTGTAGTCGGAGAAATTTTCATTTTGATCAAGTTCTACTTGTTCGGTTAAAACAAACTTCCCATGACAAATGAATTCCACCTTTTTTTAAAAGGGCTAGAGCTGTTATATGGGATGGGTGTGTGGCTTCTTCAGTTGCGACAAATTAAATCAAACTTTAATTTGTTGGAGATGTGTTCAATTGTTTCTTCTGTTGGTGATTCTGCTTCACCTTGTTGCAAAAGTTCTTTTTTTATTTTATTTTTTATCCACAGTCTATATTTTATTCCTTCTAAGGATTTGTATCTACCCTTTTTTGCTTGATACTTTGATTACTTTCTTGTGTTCATACAAGTTTCTTAATTTGAATGAAATGTGATTCTTGCCTTTAAAAAACTTAAATCGAACTTTCAACCCTGGATTTGATCAATCAAATTGCTTACATGTATTTGCATTTACAATGTCAGTTCATGTAGATAAAGTATTCACTCAAAAACCAAAACGATCACATCATTTTAAGCATATTATCAAGAGGTTGTAGGCACATACTAGAACGAAGGTTTATTGAGTCTGAGGGCAACCACTTTGTGGAAAAAAAATGCCAAAGGTTAGGGAAGTATACCCAGTACTCTATCCCTCCCAAGACTCCAAATTGCTGGGGCCAAACTTGAGTAATGACCTTCTTTTTAGGAGGTTGTAGCCTTGTAGCCATCTTGAGCTGTCTGCTAACTAGTAACCCCTTAGACGTAAGTCATGGAGTCTATATATACCCACGTTATGGTGGACTTTCAAGGCTACATTTGATTATTAGAAAATAAGTGAGAAATTGAGAATTTCATCAGATGCAGTAACGATTTTCCCACAATTTCCCCTTTCCCACCATTGGTTCCCCACTTAGAAACCAAATGTAGTTTTACTGTGGTTAATTTCCAGTGAAGAATAAAAAACGGTTCGATATTGAGGACTAATTTTCCACTTGGGATTCGATCCAGTCCACGGTCCAAAGTCCACGCTCGTGTCCTAGTGTCCATCTCTTCTACGAAATACGATCATCCCCAATAACACCACCAATTGGATATTTGGATGGTTGAAAAGCAATATCACGTGGGAGCCCTCGTTGAATTACAGTCTCCAAAAACAGATTTCTGATTTGCTAATTAAAAGGATAAAAAAATAGCAGTGCAATCTGCATGGTCAAATTGTCAAGATCTTACGATTTTTTGAACCTCTTTGGAGTACTACTTTTTATTTTTTTTTCGTTCCTACTTCCTAGAGGGTTTAAACTTTAAAAGTTAGATATTTGTGCGGTTGCGGTTGTGCCTTGTCAAGATCGTTCAGTATTGAAAATGAAGGAAAAAAATAATGAACTCTTATGCCTTGGTTCATTTAATACTGATTTTTATTTTTAACTTTTATCTAAATTTTGTATAAGTTTTGAGTATAGAATAGAGATGATGAATGGTTCCTTAATCAACATTATGTGCACGTAGAGGTGCTAGGATGGTTTCCTAGCTAGGCCCTGGATTCAAAGCCTAACCAGAGACAGTGGCTGCAACCATTTCAAGAATGTCTCCCAAACACATTAAATATAGAGATATTTTAATCAGGTTTCAAAATCCCAAGCATGAAAGTTGAGAAAAATGGAAAGCGTAACTTTTCTCTCGTAAGTAAAACAAACATCCCCAACTTGATTTCTCATTGGAATTGACGAGGAGCGCCATGAAATGGCATTTCCCCATTGTGATTGGATGGACAACATCTCACGCCATCTGATTTCCACCAGACAGTGCTTCTGGTTTTTGTTGTTCCTTGAATTGAATCAATATATAATGTCTTCTTTTTTAAGCACTACAGCTGACAATAAAGGGCTTGACAAGGTTAGATCGATGAATTGATCAGAGGTCCTGATCCCCAACTTCAGATCAATCTTTCCGCTTTCCCAACCAGAAGAAACCAGGACTAAGCTTCAGTACTATTGCATCAATCTGGGTATTGAGCGACTTTTCTTCTTGAGCAAGAAATTTACATCAAATTGATGTTTCTTGAAGCACCCCCCGGTCGGCATGTATTTTATTAAACTCAAAAGTCAAAACGCCTGATGAGGCAGTTTTATGCTTTGAAAAATGCCATGTCAGCCAATGTCTCTGTTTCATGGTGAAACGTTGCCACAAAATTGTCAGGCCATTGATCCATTGGCCTCTCTTTTTTAAGAGATCAGATTGGCACACCCCACAGAGGGCGGAGATCACATCTGCGCGATCTGAGCATGCATTGGGAACATCTCCCATCCTTGTCATTGGGAGATGTTCCCAATGCACAGTTTGGATGTGCTGTGGGGTGCAGATGTGATCTTCAAAGGGCATCCCACAGCACCTCCCACCCGTGTATTAGAAACATCTACTCAATCTCATGATAAGTACAAGAGATGTTTCCAATGCACAATGAAATATGATGTGGATGTGGGGCTCAATGTGATCTCCTTTTTGAAAAACCTAAGTATGCTCTGATTCAGCTAAGAAATCAATTTTATGACGAAGATCAAAGCTGAAGCCCTCCCAAATGAGTTTTTTTGGGGGGAAATTCCTAATCATTACCCTGAATTTTAAGGGTACCCCGAACTTTCAAAATGTGTCTAATAGGTCCCTGCCGTTACAGACCATAGTTATCTATATCATGTAATGACATGTGCCACTAAACTTTTAAAATATCAAAACTACCCTTGAAAGAATATACTATTCATTATCTTCTACCTTGAGACTGAAGAGTTGAGCCATTGCTATGACGGCATTGGGAACTGACGGCGGTGCCAGGAACATATTTGAATGAACCAGTGATGGTGCTGGTTATTGACCAAGTTCTGACAATGATTGAAACCACCATTGCTATGTTTTCCTATATATTCTTTATTTTTTCTTTTATATAGTTGATGATAATTTCTTGTATATTCTAAAATCCGTCTTGGATAGTTGATGCAACCTTCCTATCTCAACTAGGATGCAAGGGGAAATGATGTAAATCTTAGCATTTATAAGGAAAAAGTTCTTTTGATTGTTAACGTTGCATCACAATAGTATAACTTAGGTTGTGTTTGGTTTGAAGAAAAAGTAGGGAAATGTAAGGAAACCTTTACAAATCTTGTATAGGTTTCCCTATATTTCCCTTCCTTTTCCTACCTTTTCCTTCAAACCAAACATAGCCTTAGTTTATTCTTTGTTTATTTCAGAATTTACTTGTATTTGGATTTGACTTCACTAAATGTAAACAAACCTTCTGATGGATAGTTTTGACTTCACTAACTGTAAACGAACTTTCTGATGTATTTGACTTCATTTACTTGTCTATGGAGTTTTGTTTAAATTAGTTTATATGGAAGTGACAGATAAAGAAAATTAATTAGATGACACCTGATGAGTAGTTTTGACATTTCCAAAATTAGCTGATAGACTGTTAATGACAGAAACCTATTAGACACATTCTGAAAGTTTGGGGTATTGCATAGACACGTTTTGAAGTTTAGGGTGTGACTTGATACAACCCCTAAAATTTAGGGTACTAATAAGGAAATTTTCCCTTTTTTTTATTACATGGGAATGACCATCCCATAGGGAATGACCATTTATGACTTGACTTGGCTTGGCCTGGCCTGCCCGCCTACAAAATTATGGGCTGAGACAACCATTTTTAATCAAAGTT